TTAGGTTGGATACTCTTGCACTCTAGCTACTACGAAATGTCCTTCTTTTATAATTTAGAATTAAGCTCCGCGTTTCTGCTACGTTATCACTGCAAACGTATCGCAGACGGGACGGATCACAGCTACGCTCGGCGCCACCACTGTGTATATCTATATTGAGGTATGTCCTCTGAATTCTTTGACAAAATTCCTGGGGTTCTCTGCATAAGAAAGGGAAATAAAATGGAGTGCGAATTCTTTTGAGTTTCCCGTCAGAGAGAGGGGGAGAGAGAGAGAGAGAGAGATGGTTCAGCTGTGACATCGGCCTATCAGTAGGGATAAACCATAATACGAAGCACTTCGCCACAATACTGGTGCGCTCTGTATAAAATGGATGAAATGGTTTTTCATTTTGGTAAAAGATTAAAGACCTTGCGGTCGAAGGGCTTTTTGGGGAAATATGACTTTCCATTTACTTGCTTCTACAGCGCCAGTAGCTTTTCATTAGATTTTTTGTTTTTGTGTCAAATTTCGCGGCAAAAGGATGAAATAAGCCACGTGCCAGCATTAAGTTGCCGAGAGATTCTAGCTGATTTTTACTAGGTTCAATTTAGTCGAAATTCCTGAGATTCTACAGGGAAACGAAAGGTAAGAATAAAACTTCTCTTTGACATCCCGAAACTCCTATTGCTCTTACACAATGCCAGGTACTTCCTTATGAACTGTAGAAAAGCATGAAAGCAGATCTCTCTTATAGGAATTCCGCGATGCAAAATAGCTTACGAATGGTAATCAAATATAGCAGCTCTCGTGGAATGCAAATTAATGCACTAGGTACATTGCGATTGTTATGCTCTCTCGCAAAATTGATAGTCTATTGGAAATCAATACATCAACCAATCCTGCCAATTACGGCTGAAAGATATGTCGAGAATCGGGCCATAAAGTGCACAGTGCACGGCCTAATCAAGTTGGCATCCCTGTCGAAATGCCTCGAATGGAAGATTATTCGCGTAACGTGCACCTTTTATCCTCTGGAAATATCCAGTACAGCCAACATGGACAGACAGATAGGTTCGCGTGGTTACTCAAGTTGGTGCCACTGAGTGGGCTTAATATGATTATAGATTTACGGCGCCGGAGAAATCGTAAAGACAATCTAAAGTCGATCTATCCTTACTTACTGGAATTCAAGAAGTTACCTTTCTTCTGCACTTTCAACGTTTCTTATAGATGCACGGTCTCTCTAACTGTAACTATCATCCATTGCACCGTTGCAACCGTTGCAACCGTTGCAACCGTACTGGCTCAACTCACTTAGTGCATCTTCAATCTGACCCTGGTACAGATCTCCGAGATGCAGCGAGATCACGATCCCAGGACGCGGCGGCCGCTAAGTCGAACGATTTATCATGGGATCCGCTTGGGAACGCGTCGAAGGATAAAAACAGATCCATCAGAAGATTCGACGAGTCCTCGGGAACGAGATGCGAGATGCGAGATAGAGATGCTGGGATGCTGTAAGATAGGAGCGAGTATGCGAGTATAAGAGAGAATGACGTAGATCCTGAGCGAGAGAAAATGTCAGAGGGACACAGACGTATAGGGGGAGTCATGTCACTGGCAGAATCTTCCCACCGTGCGAGTTTCCAGTTTCCAATATTGAAAGACGCTTCTTAAGAGGGCAGGCACGTACCTAGTCCCCCAGGGCCCCGAGCTTGGATTTTTATCGGATTACACTTTTCCCCAGGATTATCGTAATCGTTGAGCTTTCTTTTTTTCAGTAGCGGCTCTATCCGCCACACCTGCCCCCCCCCCCTCCTTCCTTCGGTTTCCTTGCGCCACTTCCTCTTCCTTTTTTCTTTCTCTTATTTACCCCCAGGGATAACTTATGGCTTGGATTATTTGCCCTGGAATCGATATCTGTTTGTATCCCCTGTGTACTTTCACACCCCGGCGCGTCCCATCTATTTCTATATTTCTCTTGGATCCTCCTCCTCTCCTCCTTCTCTTACTTTTTTTTTTCTTGCTCTGCGCCGAACCACTTTCTCTCCGAGAACGATAAAAATCTCGGCTTTGCACTGATTAATGCCGTCACTTTACTCGCACGTAAAGGCTGAATTTCCGCGGCGCTTCCTTCTCTTTCCTCCTTCATTCTCTTTCAACACTTTCCATTTGTTTCCCTTCTTCTTCCACCCTCTGCCGTCTCTTTCTCCGCGTCCAACCACGTGTCTTACCGCATTCCCTTTGCTTGCTCTGACGGGCCAACCCGCTTCCAGAAATCCCTATGCATTTCCCGGCCGATGCATTTCATTAAGGATAATGTCTTCTGTGCTGATTTCGCGAATTGGATGAACGTGGAGTATCCCTTAATTTGTCTTTCCTTTAGCCAGTAACCGTACAGGTATTGATGTACCTATTATCCTTACATAATGCAAAGTACATAGAGACGTACATACTATACTCGTATATTGTAACGATCCACGGGGGGTAAACCCTTACTTCACTTAACGTTTTTGTTTTTAAATCCCTATCCTTAATTTTGCAATAATTTAGAAAGAGAAAACAACAACTTCTTCTCCTAAAATTTCCTGTACAATCCCTAGATAACTCACAGCGACGTCTGGGAGGATGACAAAATTAGGAGAAATTAAATTTTCTTCGATACATTTGAATTTAAATTGATTAATATATTTAAAAAGCCTCTCGCGGCGACGTTTGAGGAAACAATTGCGGAATCAGACGTACTAATTTCAGACAAGGAAGATCTCATCTGGATCATCTATCCTGACAAAGGATCTACCTATATCATGGCAATAGACAACAGTATCCGACCTCAGAGGCTGCTAATCAAGACGCCGGCGAGGATCAATCAGAATTACAAACAGCGTTCAGAGTCGCGTAGAATTCAAAATCAGTATTAGGAACAGACGTAAAAAAGTCAAGTGTACTAATTCAGCTATTTTCAATAGATGTAATGGGATCTTATTTTGCACCTGCGAGCATTAATTTTATCGACCCACCCAGTAGATGAGCTTCCTGAATTCACGACCTTCTGAGAATCCTATCTCGCAAGCGTTTCAATATATATGGTGCAATCCATTATACCACCTCATCATTTCATCCCCGAAATACCCTAAATGGATATAATATCTGGGTAAACGATAAATTGAGTAGATACGACTAGATGGTAACCCAATTTAATTTAATTCAATTATCTGCACGTAATTGCACAGCGCCTGATTGAATTTTTCCCATCGCAAATGAGGCACTCCACTAAATTCATATTCTGAAATTCGCTCGGGGGCCGCTTCTTGGGAAGTAACGCTCGCGAATTTCACAATTTCGCAAGAAACCAGGCAAAGGGACATCACAGTCAGTCATAGTTGAAATGTATTGGATTCCACGTGTCTACGGGTCTACAGTTTGTACGCAGCCAAACACAAACAACCACACACATTCGCACGTCCCGCCATCCACCCATCCACCCATCCACCCATCCACCCATCCATCCATCCAGCTAGCTGAGCTATGCAAGTGCTGCGGGATATGGAATTGGAAGCAGCGAGTAAACTTTGCGGTAGAGTTAATCGTTTCATGCGCTACGTAATTCCTTGGATAGCTACAAGGCAGCCGTATTAAGCACCGCCTGATCCAGATAACTGATAACGGCTAACATACTATTCGATAGGAATACGTTAATATAAGCCAGGCTACACGAAATGCATATCCAGGGTGCCACTAGGCTGGATTAAATATTCCTGAGCTACCCTCATTTTTCGTGCGGCCGAGCATCGATATTAGTAATACTGGTTCGGTAAGATTAGACGATGGTATAAAATATGGTCCAGTCAATCCTCCTACCTAGGAAGACATTTCTTTTCCTTTCCTTTTTCTGTGAGTACGTGAGACGGGGAAAAAAAAGTATAAGGATGTTTTGGTAACTTGACACGTTCTGGCTAATCTTCAGGGGTTGCGGCCACAGGGTAGATTCCCTCGATACCACTAATTCGCAATTCCGGCAACAGACCAGAAGAAAGCATACTCCTTCATCCTCCGAGGGCAGCCCGGCCGGCCGTTAGGGTGGCTGACTGAATGGCTGCTGTGGGCTGGCTGCCTAGTTACACATCCTGCCTACTCTCCACGGATTAACGAGTGTCTAGTAGATGTGGCGTTTGGTGGATCAGACCCAAAGGATACCTACCGCTAGGAAGCTGCCCGACTGCCCGACTGCCCGGCTGCCCTGATGGTTCCAGCTCACCCGTGGAAAAGCAACGGCAGAAAAGCTTTGGGCTTTTCTGTTTATCTTTTTCTTGTTTCCTTTGTTTTTTCTCTCTTCTTCTCTCCCCCGTCTCCCTCGTTCGCCAAAAATCCTTCCATCACCCGGAGACACCAGAAGCTCCCTTCTTCCCCTGCGCGCTACGTCGTCTCCCCGAACTGGCCCCGCGTGTGCGGCGCTGACTTTCGGCGAAAGACACACGCAGCCAGAGCGGCTTCCTTCTGGTTCTCCCTTTTCCCATGTTTGCGGAAGCCACCAGCCAAACAGGGGCCGGAGTCGGCACCACTTAAAATGCTTTTAGGCCGATTAGTCTCTACTTGGATACAGGCCGTTTCATGTGGATATTCACCAGTTAGGGAAGAAAGGGGAAGGGTAACCAGCAACCGTCTACATATATACAAACAACAATATCTACCTGTGTCTTTACTCGATTGCGCACCGATAGACCGATGGACCGATAGACTCTACCAGTCCTTCCGATTTCGACTATTTTCTTATGACGCACCTACTGAAGAGTACAATGGTCGGGCTGAAAATTGAATTCACTGTCCCGCAGTCAAAATCAATAAGTAATGAAAGCTTAGCATGCGCTTTTTATACGCCTCCTATCACGTCAATTGCATCACCACAATTTCCATTCAACTCTTTTCCACTGATATATGTTACTTTGATGAATGTGGTGAAAATAAAACAAGAATTCCAGCAGCCCAACAATTTATTGTAAATTCAAGCGTATCTGGCATTTTTGTCAGAAACCAATATTCAACAAATAATATCGCAGCAGCTCGCGGCGCTTGGTCAATAATGATTTGACGCAAAAGCAAGCAGAATAAATACAAACAAACGAGCCAGCCACCCAGTCAGTCAAGCAGTCAGCCAGCTAGTCACCATTTTACACGAGTCCTGTTAATGTACTCTATATCCGTGATCCAAATGGATTCCAAAGTCGGGTGAGATCATTGTGCTGACCCGTAGTTTTCCGAGAGTGGTATAATAATTCCAGGGGATTTATATTGGAATGCCTCTCCATCACGTAGAGAGATTGCACAGTATATTGGCGGCGGTTAACACCAATCCTGCGACTGGTGGAACTTTGCATGCACAGAGCAATTTTGAAATTAAAAAAGCGCAACAAAAAATACAAGAATAAAAACGTTGGCAGCCTCCCTATACGTGTAGAGACACACAGTCTAAAAATTTCGTCGAGATATCACACCAATTGCAGTTGTATAGGTTATTTATCCGTCTAGTCTGTATGTGTCTCGCTATCTGTCCATCTACCCATCTACCCATCTACCCATCTACCCATCTACCCATCTACCCATCTACCCACCTATCGAGCAGCTCAATAACGTTCAATCGTGCAGCGCGGATCTGATGCTCTATGCAGCTTGCGGTTGCCGCGTATCCATTTACGCGGCGTGTGCGTCGACGATACGCGATCGACGCCGATCTCAAATCCTTCGTTTTTCATTTTACATTTTCTAAAAACTTCCACTCGCCAGCTTCAGTCTCGGCTTTCCTCCTCCTGTCTCTTTTGCTTTTTATTATAGCTTCATCATTGCGCCATAGTCATTGACTCCTGTGCGCACCCAACGCATCTACCTACCTACACCTACCTACACGGGCGATTCTCTTCTGCATCCTTGTCCGTTCGTTCCTCTGTCTTCTCCCTCTGCTGCTTCCACGTTTCCAATTTACATACTAATATTCCAACTCCCTGGTAAAAGCCTTGACACGCCTTTGCCATTCCTAAGTTCATGATATCGCAAAAAGCACATCAATACAATTTATTGGCTCCTGCGCCATTGGACTAAACTATTGTTAGAGTCTGAATTTCTGAGCAGCCCAAGGGACTGTCTGACCGAAGATCAATTTTAAAAATTGAGCAATCTCGTTGGCTTTCCAAATAGCACAAAATAAATAAATGAAAAGGGAAGCACAGGGAGCCGCGTTCGACCATTCTCACCACACAGTTTCGGGATCATAAACAAGTTTTATTCCTCTCCCATGCGTCTTAATCATATCTTACTCCTTTATATTTTTTTTTATGCAAAAGAAAACAAATCAAGATGAGTTGCAGTCACAAGTAATTCTCGCTACAGAATACACGACTCTGATCATAACCGATTATCCAGCCTCTCCTTCTCAGATTCTCTTTAAGGACCATTATATTGGCTTGTGTTACAGGGGCGTCCTCGGGACCCCTAAGGGGGCCCCACTCATGTAACCTCGTAGAATAACAATAATAACAGCATAATACCTGAGCCGACTTCAACCTGTAAAACCGGCCCTGCCTTCCACAGGAGCATAACAGCAGGTTGCGCGGCCAAGAAACTGGTCCGTCCTTCGTCCAGGGACTCCGTTTCACGCGGAATTCCTTATGTACTCCAGAGACTGCGGTACACGAACGAACTATCCACTTCGAAATGTGCATATCCACGTACGCCTGAAATGCATAAAACATGCGTTTAATGTTTACGCGTGGTACGATATATTTGCTACGGGCCCATTTCTGTGCTGTCCGCAGAGAGGAACTCGCTGACGCCATTGTGTTATAGAAGTTACTTTGAACCTTTGAAAAATCTAATATTTACATAACGTGCGGTGAGACGGGTCAATCTTTTCCTCCTCGTTTCTCCCTTTCGTTCTTCCGTTTTATGAAAACTTTAGGCATTTGTCGGTCCCCGTGCGGACTCCAGTCCTGGAACAAAGGATGAATATAATAAGAGACAGAGAGGAGGGAGGGAGCACGCGGAGAAAAGAAAAAAAAAAAGGAAATAAGGAGAAAACGAGTGAAAAGACATTGGCGAGAAAAGTTTTGTTCGGAATATTCCACAGAGACAACCTGGACCGTTAAGCTAGATGCTGCGGATATTGTACCTTTGACCGTCTCATGTATCTCATTAAAGAGTGATAAAGCGTTCAGTCTCGAGGAAAGAAAAGAAATGGGCAAACTCGTGCAAGAAGCATTTCCGTGGAAACCCATGCAAATTGAAAATTGGCACAAGGGCGAACGAGGAAACGATAAATCCGAGCCAAGGCCGAGCCGCAAAATCTGGTGGGTTACACCACCAGCCTTATGGGGACCATAGGAACCGTCCGGGAGAAAGAAAAAGAAACGGTGGAGAAGATAAAAGCAATACATTGCCCAGGCCAGAAAGGGAGAAGCCGAAAGCCAAGAGACGAAGAGAGGATGAGAGGCATCGTTCCCACAAAATAACCTTAAGGTATTTTCAAAGCAGCGCACCTGCGCGCATCCACCAAGAAGATGCTAATTCGATCCACCTGTGGGACGGAACGGTTCCATCCCGTCATGCGGCAGGCTGGTTTGATCTGTTGGTCCGAAGGAGTATTCGAGGGACCCAACGTCTCAAATATATTTAATTGACCAGTAGGGGCCCTCGGTCGAGACCCCCTTTACTTTCGTCACCGTTAACGCTCCTGGTTAAACTGCTTCAGTATCTCATCCAAACGTGACTGCCCGTGTCCAGGACCGATTAAAATTCTCCAGATATCGTATTTATAGAGATTCCCCTATTGGTACATATTCCATTATCAATACCATCTACGGGCTAGAAACCTGCAGTCAGAGTAAGAGTATTCGCGTGAATGGATGGTAAATTATGTACTAAAAATTTCGTAATTAATCAATGGTCGACTTCAAAATGCCGAACTACCGGGAGAATTGAGTCAACTTGACAAATTTAAATGTTAAGTATAATTAACAGGAGATATATTCGAGTAGAAATAGCAAATATCAATAATTTCTGCTCGCCTGATATAGCAAGTGAAGTCACAAGTTGAAATGAATGACTAAAAGTTCTAACAATGTTGCAGAAATAGATGGAATTTTATAAAATATCAGTTTATCATTAGACATCCGTTTCCGAATGATAACAATTATCCGATCCGATCTTCATTCATCGGATTTTTACTAGACAAAAGGGAAATTACGAAATTCTCTAGCTGTGACAGTAAAATCGGAGATTATCTAGTTTGGAGTGCCGTTGTCATATATGGAGATTGTAATTAACAGAAGGAGTGCCTCGAGAGTGGAGATCGGAGATAAAGAGTGTCGTGAAGATTTCGAGTAAAAATAGATGCACGGAAACGACAATCGACAGAGAAAAATGTCAGCCGGTTTCTGCCTTCTTCGTTCCATATCTAACTGACTAAACTATAAATAAGACACGTTAATGTCAACCGTAGACGTTGATTCCAGTCGGTAGACTTCTCGAATATCCATATCCTACGTGGAACGATAATTCCCTATGAATATAAGAACTTCGTGATATAGTAATGGAGGATTCTGGAGCGCTGCGACTACTCCCATAAGCGATATTATTATGGCCGCCTATGGTACTATGGGAGATGGTAAGGTAAATTAGTCCCTGGCGCAGCAGGACGAGCAGATGCGAGATTTCTACTGGGGTCAAGTCTCCAGCCTCCAGCCTCGAAGCGGAGACCGTCTCCTGTATCCTCTCGCTCTCTCTCTCCCTCTCCCGCAGATACTCCCATTTGTCTCTTTTTCTCCCTCACGTTATTCCTCCTCCCGTGGAGAGCAGTAAAAGATGAAGAGAGGCTGCGGAGGCAGTCGAGATACAGATGGAGCCTAAGAAAAAGTGTTGGGAGGCCTCCGGTCGCGGGAGCCGAGGCCTGCCGAACCGGTCCGACGGGTAGACGATCGCGTGTGGCTCGCGTGGCCGAACTCTGCCGAACCCTCACGGAGACGGCCGAGCGCTGCCATTACGTAAATTGCACCATTACGAGTAATGACGTTTAAAAACTAGGAAAGAACTCACAAAGGACGTGAAGACTATGAAACTCATAGATGCCTTATATATGTATATACATTCATCCCATTTAGATAGATATACGTACATCCCATTTGGGTCAATGAACCCTCGGTGCAATTATTTTTTTCTTCAAATATCTCATGTTTTTCCAAAGCGTCGAAAAATAGTTTTACTCTTCAATTAGCGTAATTTACGCCGCCCGATGCCACAGCCATTAAATGTTTATTTAATTAGATGTATAAAGCACAAGTGTTTCCTGTGAGTGAAGTCACATTATTTTTAATAATATAAAAGCATTGCTTATTCAGCTACGTATGCGGCCATTTAGCACATAGATACAAATTCTTATTCACAGAAAAGTGTAATCTTTTACGAAAATGTATGTGACTTTTATCATTGAAAGCTAGCAGAGAATTATGTCATTCGAAAATAAACATACGTATTAGCTACATATATTTTTATCCCGTGTAATTGTAGGGGCTCCCGGCGCAATTTCTACCTGGTGAATCTCTTTGTTAACACGCTCCTTGATATTGCTGCTGCTGTTGCTACTATTACTGCTGTGCCCGGGAATACCTCGTTGACTGAGTGCATCGCGAGTGCGTGAGTGCGTGAGTGCGTGAGTGCGTGAAGAGATGAAGCGCGAAATTCACTCGTCAAATAGCCCAGGGTGCCGACAAAGAGTCTAACATTACTTCTATCATTTCGTTAAAGCGAAATACGGCAGCAATTTATATTATGAGACAAGCATTAATTCGAATGCCTGTAAAGATATTATATGTTAGAGAGAATACACGTCCCACTCACAATATATTCCCAGCCATTATTCTCTACTTTTACCATGGACAATGATAATAATCGCAACAACGCACGGGGATGCAAAATGGCTTTCCTCCCGCAAACATCTCCCAATAGCAATTACACACGCGCACAACGTACGAGTATTCATAGGTTTAGAAATATTCAGGCACGTAGGCAGTAGGTGCAGAAGTTGACGAGTCGAACGTAGTCTCAAAGATAACCTGACAATGATTAAATATATTCTCAGCATGAAAATAATAGAAAGCAGAACCCTACGCTTGGAAATTCTCATTCGTGATGTTTCCGACTATTTCTGTAGTATATTTATATTCTCAAAGGCGTTTCACGTTTCCTCTGATTATTTACGAAAATGAAGGCGTCGCCCCCTTGCTGCTATCTACCCCAGTTCTAAAGTAAAGCCTCTTTTACTCTACGAACCCCTGCACCATAACCTCCAAAAAATAATCTTTAAGGTACCCTCAACGTTCTACCCTTATTCAGATGGTTAAAATCTCGTTTCACTTACGTTTTCAGAGCAAGCAGCCACGTTTGCGTTAAAGCAGGGAGGCAAGTAGAAAAACAGGCAGGACTCACTCAGCTCCTATCCTCTTGTGTAAAGTTTCCTTCATAGTTGATTCTTTCATGGGCAAGTTAAACTATTATTTTCAGGAACGTTACCCAGCATGCTGGAGAAGTAGCACTCACTTCATCAGTGAACTTAACAAGCAACACGATAACAGAGAAGAGAGGTTACCGTACTATTTTCCAAGGCGCCCGGCTCCCATTGCACGGAGCGTAAATAGCTTACAATTAGATTATCCATTATTATAGTCCTCACTCTGTGGAAGATGCCACGCGAGGAATTAGCTCTTAGATAAAGGAGTAGAGCAATGAGAACTATTCACGATTCCACCATTGATTTCTTGTTAAATACCGAGTGACATCGAAAAGTACGGACGAATGGAAAATTTTACCAGCCCCAGTCGTTTCCCCTGACGTCCCGACCGACGCGAGCACAACCTACTGGCGAGCGAAACTTATTAAACTACCATTACGTGACACGGAGATGGCTCTGCAGTAGTTATTCCTAAGAATTTCGTCACAAGCAAAACTCTGTGGAGCTGTTTACAAATGTGCTTCAAGCGTTATCAAAATTTTCTGTCTTCTCTTGCGTTTAAACTTAGACCTATAAACTTATCCTTTTTTAAGAGTTTCGATTTCAGTTTGCCAAGCTATGAACAGAGGTTACTATATACCTATATACAAGTGTGTGCGTTTGTTTTTATTTTAACGAACATGAACGAAAACTGACATTTTCTTTAAAAGACAACTTAAGATGCAATAAAGAATAGGATATAGTGTAGCTATGTCAGAAGGGAAGCAGTACTGATCTTAAAGGAAAAGGTTAAGAATTCGTCAAGGTATGTGCCGACATATGTACAGTCAGTTCAAGGTAAGAGATTTTCTGTTGAATGCCGATAATTAAAATCACTGCCAGGAATCTTTTCCTCGCTTGAGGACATCTGCCACTCGATGTAGTCGAGATGCATTCCTTCGGCGAAGTTCTTCATGCTCGAGATCAAGAGTCTCAGTTTCCGTGGATTTGTCTCTTGGTTTCGATCGCGTGTTCTGAGGACATTAACATCCACGAGGGTCCCCGTTCTTTACTCAAAAGGACCTGTGTGGTTCAGAGAGAGAGAGAGAGAGAGAGTAAAGGGTTTCTCGTGAATACAAATAAACGGACTCTTGGACATAAAGAAAGAGACTTCTTTAGTTTCATCTGAATCCGCTATCTTCTAACAAAACTCTGTAAAAGGAAAACGTTTAATACCCGATAAAAGGGCTATCTCCAAAGTGAAGAATATAAATTCAAGCAGGAACATTAAATAATTGCGGCTAAACGATTCTAGCAGCGCCAGAGGGTCCTCCTACTGTCAGAGCTATACGATTAGAAACGTGATAGCTAGATAAGAGACTTTCTAGTCTGGATAGGATCATTTGATACTAGCTATAGGGCATGCCCCTTATGTTATCTAGCAGTTCCTCCCAATTAAATTGAGCTTCAATAAATTACCCATTAATTTTCGAAATTTCTTCCGAGCCTTTCAACGTTCCTACACTTCATTCTATTTTTCATTATTGATATCTGCTCTGCAAAAGAAGCATATTTTATTGAAACTCCGATATCTTACGCTACACCCCTAAGAATTCCAGTCGTCGATAGGAGGGTGTACGTTCTATACCATACATGCCACAGAATATAGTATAAAGTATATGGTACATGATACATGGTACATGGTATATGGTATATGGTACATGGTGTGACTCACCCTGAGCGTCGACAACCAATAAGAGTAATGTATGATTCTCAAGGATTGCCTGTCGATATCAGACGTCTCTCCTGGAGTATTTCCTGGGAATCGAAGATATCTAGGAAATTCACGTAAGGACATACTTTCCTGGGAGGATGGCACTCCGACCTGATATCCTGTGTTATTCGAAGGTGGGTTTGAGCATCACTGAACCGGTCGCCATCATCGCAGCTCGGTAGACTTGAAATACCGGCTTCGATCGTGCTTCTTCCTTTTTCCAGTTTACTTTTTTTCTCTCCCCCCTTTTATAAAAATACTCCCCGCTATGAACCAGGAGTACATCGTCCTATCCGGCACCATCTACCTCAGTGCCTGCTCCGTTGCAACCTATCTAACTCAACTGGCATGGTTCGAGTGGAGGCGAGTAATAAGCGTCCAAGTAGGGTTGAGAGCCCCTTCTTTTTTTGTGAGCCACTCTGAGATACTTCGTAAGGGTTCGGTTAAGATCGGAAAGGTTCGGGCACGCGAGAACCACGCGCATCAAGGTCGGGGCCGTCCACCTTTCTCCATGGTGCACAAGTGCACGTATTGTGTTCCATACGGTCGCTACCATCTCTTCCTCTTTCGCCTCTGCCTTTTTCGTTTCCTTTTTTTTATTTTCTCTCTCTCTCTCCCTCTCTCTCTCTCTCTCTCACTACCTCTACCGTCTCTTACGCTTTTTTTCTTTTTACCCCTTGTTCCATCTCTTTACCTACTCGCACCACCATGCACCACCATGCACCGCCATGCATCGTCATGGACGACCATGGACTATCCAACTGACTACCGCCTCTCTTATTCGGGCTTCCAGAACTAATCGTTGAAATATATCGAGCCTCGTCCTCTCTTCTTTATTTCCCCCTCGTTCGTCCTTCCTTCTCCAACCCTCCGTCGACTATTTTCTTCTGCCACCTGCTGGACCGCTTCATCCGGATGTGATCCTGCGCGCAGGTATCCAACAGGCTCGCCTCTCATTCTTGTTCTTTCAATTCCGAATCTTCCACCCATCCATCATAATTATATGATAAAAACTGCATCAACCATTCTGAATATTTACATTCCGAGTGTTACTGCAATTCAGCGTAGATGCACTTGCTGCCGGCGCAAAATTCCGGTCCAAATGCACTCGTCAACGACATCCATTTCGGACCATCAGTTAAATTCAGTGCATCTCATCGAACCGGAAATACCGCAGTTATTCCTGTTTGAATGAACATTTGCACAGCCAATACGGTTCCGAATTGTTTATTCTCTCGGCACCGTCGAAATTATCACACGTTCCTTTATAGCGGCATATTTACCTATAACTAAACTCAAATAGAAATTCATAGACACATCCGATGGCTTTCATGTGTCTCCCTTGCATCGCGCATCGCGCATCCCGTGTCCCGTGTCCCGTGTCTCGTTTCATCTACTCGAGGAAATTCCTCCTAGAGATTCCACCACGTTTCCACCACGTACCCAACTATTATGCTCGCAGACTCCTGTCTCCGACTCCTGCGTACTCTCGATATTTCTCATTGGCTCACCATTAAACATCCAACCACCATAGCTGGGTTATGGTTCCCGCACGTTCCCAAGTGGCGAATTCTAATGGAATTAAACGCGAGCGGCTGCAACAGCTTGCCCATAGTTCAGAGCGCGGAAACCTTGCTGTGAATTTCAATGGGGAGTTTACGAGGTGGTCACGAACAGAGAGAGGGAAGACAGAGGGAGGGAGAGAGAGAGAGAGAGAGAGAGAGAGAGAGAGAGAGAGAAGAATTCTTACTTGCAATTTCCTATGACGCGAATGGCGGCTCACCATTACGATTCCGTGGCATTAACCATGAATCAGTACTCGACACGCTGGATACGATAATTCGATGGGAATTAGAAGCCGCCCGATAACCTCTTATGGGGTTTAATTGGGCCTTGATCACTCGAGGGAATTACATCTTATGGTATACTCACACTTGAACGATTATGAACTGATCCTCGGGGCAGTTTCTATGGAAACTAATGTTCAATCTGAATTCAAGTATTTTATTAGAGCCCGGAAAAAGAAGAAAGAAAATCCTGCTGTCCCATGAAGTCTCCTGTCCCGTCTACCTAGCTATAGTCACGACGGTTGTAGCGGATACCTCGCTATAAGTGCACTAGATACTTTATGGCGGATTATCATCCATCTAATGGCTTCCTCTTCCGTGTAGACTTTTTATCTTATAGCGTAACGTCCATGGCGCAAGACTGACTTTGTGGAAATTGAATACGACGGTCGCCCGGTGTGGGCGCACCTTTAGTTGGCTTCTATCGTGTAAGACGAGTAGACTTCAAAATCGGATGAATCTCTCAAGACTAATTGTAAGAGCCCTCTCTGAGGGGACTCGGGGAGTGAGACGGGGTGGGAGGGAGTGGGAGGGAGTGGGAGGAAAGGCTCGAGCGATCCTTTCTCAAACCGTAGGTGTCTGACTGAAAGTCGTTGAGAATCCTAAGGGTCGTGACGTCACGCGCCCTCTGCATATTCACACGTGAAAACTCAATTTCTTATCGGATATCAAAATTCAAATGGATCTGCGTACCACTTTCACCAAATTCTTCGGCACTGAGAAGACTGACGCCTTTCGTCGCGCCACCAAATACGCTTTCAGTCTGAGAGAAGCGAGTCGAGAGGACTCTCTCTCTCTCTCTCTTTAAGAGAGTGGAAAGTAAAGTGACTCGAGAGAAGAAGCCAGATGAGATGGGTTTGTGCTCCGTTCACGGAAGAATCTAAGAATCCCGGCGAGGCTGGATACTGGCGAGTGAGAGTCTCCCGAATAATGGCAAATTCTACCGGATGTAGCAGGAAGAACCTCGAGGAGGAGCTGCCTGAGGTCCCGATAAGAGCCGAGTGAACCTGAGCCTCCACCGACAGTATCGGCATCCGGCGACTCGGTCACAGTCGGACCGACCCCCAACATCTGTATCGTCGCCCCAGACAATTTCTCACTAATCCTGTGTCATTTGGCCGGAGACTCGACTGAAGGCGCTCTCGAGGCTACAGTCGGCCTTGCTCGCGACGAGAGGACGGAGAGATGGAGAGACGGAGAGACGGAGAGATGGAGAGACTCGCTACCGCAGGAAAAGAGAAACACAGCCGGAGGCAGAACAGGTTGCGGTGCTTGATGCCTTCCACTGGCCCCGCCGACCAGTGGAAGCAACAGTGGTGGCAGGTTGCCACGGAAAAGGGATTGAAAGAAGGAAGGAAAGGTAAAAAAGGAGGAGAGAGGTCCAGAGGGAGGTGAGCCAGAGATGAAATAGAGGAAAAAGAAAGGAATGGCCTGACGCAGGTAGGCCCTTTGTTCGCCGTGTTTCGAAATTAATGGCTGGGGCCCTTCGCAGAAGGGGCCCCTCGGCCGCTGCTCCGTCTTCCTCCTTATCTCTCTCTCTCTCTCTCTCTCTCTCTCTTTTTACCCGAGCTCCTCTCTCCAAAGAGAAGATGATCATTTAATTGAGCGGCTGCTCCTGCCGCTGCTATTTGCTCGCTCGCCAAGAGCCTCTTTTCTTTTGTTCTTCGGATTAGACACCGAGACTGGTTACATTATAATGCCAAATGGCTGCGGCCTGCCTGCTCGGCTCGTTACGCCCTCCCGAGACTAGAAAACTTTCTTGGATTTCTTTCCGCCTGTCCTTTCCCTAACATGTTGCG